CGTGGCCGCTCCGAGGACTCAGCCAAAGGTGAAGATTGATTACGGCACGGTGGAGATGCCCGGGTATGAATGGGTGGACGGAGAGGTCGGTGTGTACTTTTCAAAGTTGTCCGACCAAGAGTTGTTGGATACTTTCGTGTCTTTAGAGAAATGTTTTGGGAGTGGGGAGGACGAGTTCTCGTTGCTTGCCGAGGCGTGCGAGGACGATGGGCCGAACACCGATTTCGTGTTCTTGGAGCGGGGGTCCGATGAGGACGACTATTTCTACGCCTATATGTGTTGGTTTGAGGATCTCGGCGTGACATTGCCCTTCGATGATTTCCAGATGGGGGTCCTCCGTGCTTTGAACGTGGCGCCGACCCAGCTACACCCTAATGCTTGGGCAGCTATGCAAGCGTTCCGTAATCTGTGCTTATGCCTCGGTCTAACACCTCGACCCCTTGCCTTCCTCTATTATTACATTTGCCGGCCGAGCAAGCCGGTAAAATGGGTGTCGTTAGCTCGAGTGCCGAAGCGTGGATTTCTCCGAGCATTCACCTCCTCTTATAAGGGATTTAAGAGTGGGTTCTTTAAGGTTCGTTGGGGTTCGGATCTGAGAAACTGCTTCTTTGACCGGGAGGACAATCCGTTATTCCCCTTCTATTGGACGAGGCGGCCGACGCGCTTCGAGGCGATACCTTTTTCCAAGCTCCCCGCTGAGGATAAAGAAATTGTGGAGCTTCTTAATAAGTTGCCGAAGGGCTTACCAATGTTAATTTATTATAAAGTAGGTCTTTGAGGTTATAATTCTAATCAAACATTAAAAAAATATTTATGATAAATGAATAAATCATACTTAAGATATGTATTTTTAGTAAAGGTTAAATTCAAACCTACTAAATTATAAATAATTTAGTCTAACCTAATTCTAATCGTAATTATAAATATAAAAACTTGTAAAAAATAATTATAATATATATTTATATTTTTAAAAGTAATATATAAATTTTTGAATACTAAATATTACTCTCATTATTTAAAGTTTCTAGATCCATTCCACCCTTCACTAGTTAGAAATCTGTTATATGGATAAGCAGCTAATTATTCCATTAAGATATCCTATCAACATAATTAAAAAAAAAGTTTATGTCGCAATATTCAATTAGAATAAATTAATGAAATTATAACACTAAATAAAAATTTTAATTACAAAATTTTCAAATTATAATTTTTTTAGATGTCTTTAATTATAAAAATTTAATTAAAATTTTGAAAAAAACCACAAGACCTGCATATTAATTTAATTTTTTTTAACCGAACAGATGAAGTTAACCTGTTTTTAGATTATGAATGACATAATAATAATAAAAAAATCATTTAACCTATTTTATGATAACTACATCAAACTTTAATGTAATTTGATAAAAGAATATTTAAATAAAGTTAAATTAAGTAATTTTAATCATATAGGTCAGAACCTGGTTCATTGTTGTAATTTTGATGATAAAAGAAATCACATATAATAAACAGCGTGAATAAATAAACGAGAATATGAATAAATATTTAAATGAAGTTAATAATAAAATAATAAATTCATAGCAGTGGAGAAAATAAATGGAGGAATGAATGAGCAATGGTTGTGTCTGGGGGGTGTTGAGGTCCCATAATAAGTGAAGTGGAATGAAGCGCGTGGAAGGCAAAGAGCGTTGTCATTAATGAATAATGATGTTTTGGCTCCAAAAGCATTTTTGGTGTTGCCTCCTACTCTCACCACTGACACAGAAAATACAATGACACACTCGGGAACCGAGCATCACATATGTCATATGCCAAACCAAACTCAACTTAACATAACAACCTCAACACTAGGGTTTCCCTCACACCACATTACATTCCAACCATTTCAACATTTCGGTCAGTGTTAGACTCCTTGTAACTTTTCACTACACTCCATTGCTATGCTTTCTGCTTCTTTTGTTTCTCATTGTTTTGCTTCTCTTTATTTCTCCCAAGAAGAACAACTGTCTCTTGCAACTTTTTGTTTTTTTGTTATAGTCTGGTGAATGTACCATTCTCAAGTTGTTTAAATGTTTTTGGCAATTTGCTGCCGACGAACGATTTCGAATTTAGTTTTTATCTTTTTAGTTTTTATGTTTGAAGACTGTTGGTTGCAACACAACATGTAGGTTGATTTAGTTAGGTAATGTTGTCTCTGTGTTTATGCTACTATGTTGCATTGTTACTATTCCTTCGGATTGGTTGATTGTTATTTGGTTTTTGACTGCATGTCATGTAGATCTGGGTTTGTGTGGGTCAAAGATTCTTGTGCATTAATGGCACTCGTCAACTTTGTGTCTTGTTCCAAACTGGTGTTTCACTCAACTAAAAAGAAAAAGGGGTCTGAAAATGAAAAACTGTTCTGTTCCTGCTTTTCTCAACCACACCTGCCATCTTTCATTTGAAAAGTTTGGCGAGGAATCTGGAAATTCACTGTTAGCAACAAGGCTTCTTGGTTACTATTTCTGAAATGCTGAAACACGAGAGTGCTTTGAATCTTTGGTTGTCTGTGTGGTCTGTGCATAATGATTTATAATTACGGAATTTAACTTTAATGCAGCGTTATGTGGCTGTGGAATGCTAACGGACACTGGAGTAAAAGAGGGGAATGAAAAATTGGAAATGTTGAAGATGGTTTGTTCCATTAATGATAGTTATTTAAGGATTTTGGTGAAACGTTTTGTTTATTTATTTATTTTGGTAGTTTTGATTTGGTAGGTGGTAGTGGAGTTAGTTTACTTGGAGTTTCTTTGAAGGGATTATATGCTGTTTGTTTGTTAGGATTTTTTTGTTGTTTTTGTTAAGTTAAATGCTGATCCGTGGTGGTCGTCAATTGAGAGCCATTTTCTTTTTGTCACGTTATAAATCAAATTCCTTTTCACCTTTATTTCTTACTCAGTTTCCTATTGCAGGAATAGTGGGTCAGCGATTTTAAAGGAGTGGTCTTTTCGTTTTCCCTTGTATCCCTTAAGACTTGGGAGATTAAAATATGCAGACCCCAAAAGCAAGGTAAGATTGGATTATCTATTACTTTTCCTGCTTTCTATTCTCTGTGCCATCTTATGACTAAGTTGTGGTATCACTGTATAATTATTCTTGGGGTCTAAATGAGCAATTGGTGATTCTCTTGTATCCATTAGATTTGGATGTGTTAATTAGGGATTGGTCGTTGGTAAAATAAAACATGATAAAATAATTATTGATGCATTTATTTAATTATAGTTGATTAGTAAACTCCAAAACTACCACGATTAACATTTTGTTAAAATAAATATATAAAACAAATATTCTTTTTTGCTTGGTGAAAATAAATTCCTTTAAATGAACTTCTAATTCTTACTGTGCACGAGTCCATCTTCCATGCTCTCTAATTAATTGCCTGATCCATTATGCTCATGTGAACCTAAGTTTTAGTTTCACTTACTTAAGTTGGAAAATGTAACGGTGTTAGTTCTCTTGGGTGACATCACAAACTTCTAGTTTTCAGTATGCCTTTACATTGAAGGTATTAGTATAAGATGATCCTAAGAAAAGGTCTTTATTTATTTTTTGCTTCAAACTTATCATTCTTGTCATTTAGTAATTTTCACCAGGTCATTTCATAAAATTATTTGGCCTTGAAACTGTAGCTAAATCCAAACTTGTCACTGGTCTATCCTTGAAAAAGCAACACCTGGTTGAATGGTGGGGTGTGAAAATAGTGTTGCATATCATCATCCAGTTTATTGATTCTCATGACTTGACCACTTCAGGGTTCAATCTCAAGATGTTTTTTGATCCACATTTTATTCTTACATTTGTTCATGCATATTAATTGGCTTATGGCTGACTTTAAGCAGAGCTGGTACATCAGAAGTGCCCCAAAAGAAATCTCCTGTAACCCCTCGTACTGCTCGTCAGTTGAAGATACCAAACTCTGATTCTGACTTGGTCTCCTCTCCAAATGCTGCAAAAAAGACTCCAAAAAATAGGAGTCCAAAGGTTGTTGAACGCAGGTCACCTCAAAGTCCAGTATCTGAGGTATTTGAAATTAACTCGTGTCAAGAGCTGAATTGCCCCTTCTTGGATACAATTATTTAAGCTTTCATAAATCCATTGTCAATATGTATATATAAAATCTGAAATATTATGTTATTGTCAGTTTATAATTTTATTATTCACTCTGTCATCTCCCTCTTTATCATCTGGCTCTAGAAGAAGCGACCTAGTAGGATCCAGGAATTGGAATCTCAGATTACTCGGCTACAAGAAGATCTGAAGAGTGCTAAGGATCAACTTAACTCATCTGAGACATGGAAGAAAAAAGCTCAACAGGAGGCTGAACTGGCACAGAAGCAGCTTGTAGCCATGTCGAAAGAGCTGGAGGAATCCCACCAACAGCTTTTGGACTTCTCGGCTTCTGAAGAAGGACGGCTTCAAGAGCTCCGCAAAATTTCTCAGGATCGAGATCGTGCATGGCAATCTGAACTAGAGGCTGTCCAAAATCAGCAGGCAATGGATTCAACTGCTTTGGCATCTGCCATGAATGAAATACAGAAATTGAAAATTCAACTTGATAGAGTAGGTGAGTCTGAAGCTACTCAGATCAGCAGTGCAGAATCAGCTCATGCTGAGATTCAGGAATTGAAGATGGAGCTTGATAAAACTCTCTCCATGGTAGAAAAGCTTAAAAACGAGGTATGTGATTGCAAAGAATCTGAATCCAGGGCCTTGGAAGTAGTTGGTAAAATGCAATTGCAATTGGAAACAGCAAATCAGACTGTGGAAACACTTCGGTCAGATGGCATGAAAGCAGCAGAAGCTTACAAATCCTTAGCTTTAGAGTTGGAGCAATCAAGAACTAAAGCAAAATCACTGGAGGAGCTCGTGATTAAACTTAAGGCTGATTTGCTTAGCAGTGCAAACGAAAATGTAATAGCTCCAACCAATGAAAATGTACCTTCTCAGGAAATTGGAGGCAATGAAGAAATAAACCATCTCAAAACTGAGGTTAGCTCTGCAAAAGCTGAAGTGGGGCAGTTGAAGTCTGCATTGGATGTTGTTGAGGTAAGATACCAAGAAGAGTATATCCAGAGCACATTGCAGATTAGATGTGCTTATGAACAACTGGAACGTGCAAAATCAGAATCGGGTCAGAGAGAGGTTGAATTATTTGAGGAATTAAGGAGAGCTAAAGCTGATACTGAAGAGCTAAGGGCAAGCCTGATGGCCAAGGAATCTCAGTTTCTGAGAATGTCAGAGGAGAATAAGGAGCTCAATTCCAGGATCAAGAAAAACCAATCTACTGAGAGGCAGTCTGAGCTAAAAAAATTGGATGATGATATTGCAGAATTGAAGGCAAAGCTATTAGATAGAGAGACAGAACTGCAAAATATAGCAGCAGAAAACAGCATGCTCAAGATGGAAATCAAAGAGGAGTTGGAGAAGAATAAAATCACTGATGAAGCTGTTGCTTCAGCTGAAGCAGCAAGGGCAGCAGAGCAAGAGGCTTTGAAAAAACTTGGCCACGTAACAGAAGAGGCTGACAAAAGTAACAAAAGAGTGGCTCGGGTGACCGAGCAATTAGATGCAGCTCAGGCTGCGAATTTGGAGTTGGAGGCTGAACTAAGGAGACTGAAAGTTCAATCAGATCAGTGGAGAAAGGCAGCTGAAGCAGCTGCCTCTATGCTTTCTAGTGGAAACAATGGGAAATTTGCAGACAGAAATGTCTCGCGTGAAAGCAGCTTCAATTCTGTTACTGGCAAGATGAATTCACCTTATTTAGAAGACACTGACGATGAGTCACCTAAGAAGAAAAATACAAACATGTTGAAGAAGATTGGAGTTTTGTGGAGGAAGAACCATCATTAAGTAGATGCTGCCCAGGTATCGGTAATCATTGCATACACTTTGATAGGTTAGCTAAATGGCGTTACTTGTATGTGGTTTCATTTTACTTCTTTTTTGTCGTTGTAAGGTATTTTGTAGTATCACTATCAAGTAGTCATAACCATTTGAGCAGTTCCTTGGGAAATCTGTGATAAACTCGTGACTGATATTGTGTACTAGTTAGATTTGTCGAACCTGCATAGATGAAGCAGCTTATTATTAGCGAAGAGAATGTGGATGACTGTATGTTTTCTTGGTATCACATCATTAGCAGTTAACGAGGTTAAGGACGATGGGAAGTCCTATGTGGCCCTAAAAAAGTATTTCATTTGGGTATTAGATTCTGAGACTAATGTATTGCATCTCTTGGTAGGGTCCCATACAATGAAGAATTTATCCATCATATTTTGTTGCTCAATTTTATCCCACCGTATTACCGATGTCAAGGAAGGACTCACTAGTCACTGGTGGTATGAACTTTTTGAACATAAAAGAGAGAATTGAATAAGAAATGGAAAAATGAAGACTGGTTAACAATTAATACAACTATAAATTCAATACAGAAAAAAAGGACAAGTTCACCTCTTTTTTGAAGTTCCTTCCTTTGCATTCTTCACATCCATTATCCAATGGCGATAACGTTCTGTTTTTAATATAGAGATAAACCTACAAAATATTATCTTGCGAGACAAAAATGGAGACTTTATATTGGCTTTCTCAGGTTTGATTGGAAACTGTTCAGTGCTACAAGTTGAAATTATGGGCCATTTTTCATGGTTTGAGATTGATAAAGGATAAATTTCTCTCATATCATATAATCATAGAGTCTGACTCAGTATTAGCTACTGAATTCTTGAACAAAGGTTGTCCCAGATTTCATCCGTGTTACTCCCTTATCAACCAAATTGTCAGGATGGCAGGAGGGTTTTACGAAGTAGAGTGTGTTCATATCTTTCGAGAAGCCAACCAAGTAGCGGACAAATTTGCTAAATTAGGACTCTCTTTCATAGAGGGATTTCAATGTTTTAACACGCCTTCAAATTGGGCACATTTTTTGTTATTAGCAGATAAGTCTGCTGTTTGTTTCCCCCGTGACTTTTAGCCTCTGTTTGTTTCCGCGGAAAGACTATTGCTGCAGAAAGAAAAGAGGGGGTCACTTGTGTTTGTTTCGAAGGAAAAGCGAGGAAGGAAAAGCGAGGAAAAGCGGGAGAGACGTACGGAATGATCTTCGCTCATCAACGGAGAAAGGAGGGGAAATCTGGGGAAAGCCATGTCAGCTATGTGAAAAAGACCAACCTGCCCTCGGCTACGTGGAAGCATCTTTCTACTGTTGCTCTGCATGCATGCACAGAAAGGACATGCAATTTCTACTGCTGCTCTGCATGGAAGGACAGAAAGCACATGCAACACATGCAAACTCACGGGGGCACAGTTGAAGGTAGTAAAAGCTACCCATCTACCCCATTATGTACCTCAAGTTTAAAGCACTCAATATGTGCGTATAAGGACCTCCATGAAAGCTCTCCAAGGACGTCGCTCTACACAGGCTGAAGAAGGTCACAGAAGCTTTCCCCGTAGTTTCAACGTGCTGCCCTCCCAGGTATGGTGGCCGAAGGCAACGAGGAAGGAGAAGCAAACCATGGCAGAACGGTCCATGACATGGCTGCCGGAATGGTCGAAGGTCGCCGGAGGAAGCCATGGAAGCTGCAGGCTCACATAATCGATTATGCAGTCAAGCATAATCGATTATGGAGCGGCTGCATGCAGGGGGACGACGTCGGTTCCGGGGGTGGCGTGTCTCGTGATCCAGCGCCACCCTTTGCATCTCCCTTCCGACGTTGTTCCGAAGTCATTTTTGCATGATGTAGCAGTTGTTTTGTTGTTCCATTGCTAACTATGGCTTCTCGTGTTGCAGATTTGATTCTCCGACTCTCCGACGAAGCCGGCCGTCATCTTCTCCGACGACCTCCCGAAGGCAAAGGGCCAAGTCCGACGACGTGAAACCGAGAAAGTCAGAGGTAAGTATTTAATATAGTTTTGAGTGCTGAATAATCTGTAGTTTTGAATGGTGAATTGATGTGTAAGCTGATAGTTTTATAATAATAACATACATTTATATATATAACTATATAGATAAATATATAAATATATATATATATATATATATATATA